CTGAAAAATAAAAGCTAAGTTTCTACAGTTTCAGACTGAGATTACGTTACAAGAAGGGATTGAGTTGTAGCTGAACGTCATGCAGGATCACTTAGCACTCAAAGAATGTATCGAGGATGACTCAACTACCACCACACCAACTTATAGATCAATATCTGTAAAACTGCCTGAGCTACAGTAGTCCCTCGCTACATCGCGGTTTGACTTTCACAGACTCGCTCTTTCATGGTTTTTCAACGATCGTCAGCTTTAATATTACTCATGCAACTGGGACTGTACTGGTTAAAAAGTTAACAAAAAAATACTTCAAACAGGCGCCACCATTTTGTAGTTTTCTTTCAATAAGCCTATACTGTAACGCCAGTCAAAAGAGCTGCACTACCCAGAAGCCAACAGTGCTTCCAGCTGCTGCTTTCTGCTGAAATGGAGGGAAAGTTTTGCAACGCAAATCTACGCTTTCTATGAAGCTCACAGAACTGGCAGGAAAGTCACAAATAATCCTGAAGCTTCCTGAACCCCAATTATCCACGCACACAACAACCTGGACGGGGCGGTGGGCTTCATCGCCGCAGGGTAGGTCTGCAGAACCGGAACCGAGCTGCTGGTCTGCAGAGCTGGTGAGTACCCATACAAAAATTTTGCAGTACTGTACAGTACATATACGTATGTTGTTCAAATAACGTAGGTTTAAGAGTTTAGAACATTGTCAGAGTGTGGGAAGGGTTTAAAGCTTTAATATATGTATAACTACTGAAATAAAGATAGCGTTCCTACTTCGTGGTTTTTCACTTATCGTGGTGGTGTGTGGAACAAAACCCCCATGATAATCAAGGGACTACTGTATCCCCATTTTGTGTTTGCTAAGGTCATTTAGCTGTAGTGCTCATTTCAAATTCGGTTGAATTCTGAAGCTAATCAGTTATGTACTGTATATATGATGATTACTTTCTGAATTTTGTTCAATTCTGTCCAATGCTTCATTAAAAATGTTGTTAATGTTACAAACGAACAGAAACAGACACTGGTAATAAAAAAATTAAAAAGTGATCACCTTGCCTTCAGCAGTGGGTGTTAAAAAGGAAACTAGTCTGCTACTCAAAGCTGTGAAGCCTGGGGGGGGGGGCCTTTGTTATGACGTTAAAATAAGTTTTTTTATTCCCTCAATGGGGGATTCTGCGCCTATTCAACTGTCAATCATCTAACAGCAAGAACTTTGTGTCCAAAATATCTTCCAGCTGCAGCGCCGTTAACTGCTGATCATCCATAACTAGATGAAACAAAAGACGAAGCAAACCGCAGACGCACCCGACACAAGGAGCATCAGGAGCGTGGAGGCGGCTCAGACGGTACGGGCGGGAGAGAAATATGCTTTGGTCTGTGAGTCGGAAAGAACGGGAGTGACTCAGAGAGGAAGAGGTGGGAATGAGGATGGAGAATTTTAGGGAATCCCACTGAGATCGCTCTCCTTGCTGCTCTGCATCGCGCCAAAGAATTCAGACGAGCAAACCATATGCTGGAGCAGGTCACATGCTAGCTCCGCCCTGAGACAATAGAAATCCCACATTCTGAATCTCTCCAGTTTGTTTACGAATCTTCCTGTGTATTATTCTTGGCTGTTATCCTCCAGGACATCTACTTGGAAAAGCAAGTTACTCAGCTGCTTTTGTTTTTTTCTTTTATGGATCTGGTTTCACTTCAGAGGAACCGGAGGGGCGTGTTCTCGCTTCTGCAAAGTCTTAATCACATTACAAGAAGCTCTAAGTCGGTGTCATCACATTTACGGTGGCAAGAGCTACGACTAAAAAAAAAAAATCTATGAACAATCACAGAGTAATGAGAAGTACCTTCGTGGTGTAATTCATGCCTCGGTGGAACGTGAGCGTGACGCAACATCAGAGCGATCAGCTGTAGTCGGAGGGGTGCCTCTTATCCACAGCGTTTGGTTTTAGCAGTTTGCTCGTGATATTTGTTTCCACTTTAGAAGCTGGCAAACACATGGAACATCTGGTTCAAATAGCAAACAGCTTCAAACTTCTTTAAATGTAAAATGGTTTAAAACTGGTCTGGAGCGTGATTAACCAGGAGCTTTGTGTCAAAAACCAACCGTGACAGATAGTTTAGGATCATCTTATGTTGAGAAAAACGACACAGTCGTAGTCGTTTTTGTCAAAATCTCAACAACAGCAAAAAAACTATTTCATGCAATATCTCATTGATTTGTGGATCATATGTATGAGGAATGAGTCTCAGCTACTTTGATTTGTGGATCATATGTATGAGGAATGAGTCTCAGCTACTACCACCCTGATTTTTCTGGAAAACTGGCCATTTGTGTTTGCAAAGATTGCGTTGCTGTGGCAGCCTTCTTGAATTGGGTTGACTCCAGTAGGTAATCATCTGTAGATATGCACCCAGTGGTTACTTTCTGTGAGTTTCATTAAATGCCCAGTGTTGCATGAGGTATTTTTCTAAAAGTGCAGACAAACGAACACATGCAGGATGAACAACCTCATCACTCCGCCTTTGTCTTCATCGGTGGGTGATAACAACTCTTGGAGATGTTCAAGAATAAACTAGTCCCTCAATACTTCGTGGTTCGAGTTTCGTGGACTCAATTTGTGTGTTTTCAACACAAGATTGTACACGACACACGATTGGTGATGGGGAAAGACAGACCCCGCCCCCTCCTTTCTCTTTCTGAGGCTCTCTGTCACAATCTATGCTGTAACAAACAGACTCAGAAAGAGAAAGGAGGGGAGGGGTGAGGTCTGTATTTCCCCATTGCTTTTGTTCAGTCCGTGGGAGCTGATACCTGAGTGAGCGGCATGGAATGTTTATTTAAAATAATCAAGTGCCACCCGAACCAAGCCTTTGGTCCAGTCCCTCGGCAATCACTAAGCGGGCCAGGCCACCGGGAAATGCACGGTGCTACCCATGGCCAGTCAGCCCTCGGTGTTGTGCCAAAAAGTGATGGTCTGCCAAAAATCGAATGGCGTTGCCGGAGCTTTTTTGACTATTAAAGTGCATTTATTAAGTAAAAAGTAAACAGAGACACACCTTTGCTATAATCTAAAACAAACAAATAATAGTTTTTAGGTGTTAATCTTGTTAAATTGCGAGCCATAATCGAGTTTTGGCAGCTCGTAATCGATCTTTGGTAGGCAGGCGAAATGAAGCTTCTTTGACCATTAAAGTGCATTTATTAAAGAAAATCAAACAGAGACACACCTTTGCTTTAATCGCGAGCAAACAAATAATCATTTTTTAGGTGTTAATCTTGTTAAATTTCGAAGAACTGAAACAGCGAGTCCTCTCGTGCGCGCTCCCGCGGCACCAATCCATTTTTGGCAGACCATCACTTTTTTGCACAACAGCAGGACTGGCTCAGCAGCAACCGTAGCATCAGTCTGTCTGCTCTCTTTCACCGTGCTCTTTTAGAGCGTTTAGAGTTTACAACATTGTTAAGAACATTGCAAGAGTGTGGGAACGGTTTATAAAGCCTTAATACATATAAATACTAAAATAAATAGAACGTCCCTACTTCGCGGATTCTCACCTATCTAGGGGGTGTCTGGAACGTAACCCCCGTGATAAGTGAGGGACTACTGTACTAAAGTTCCTATCATCTAAAAGTGAGACGTGTTGGTCAAACAGAATATCGATGACATCACACGGTTTTACACAGCTGAGGACAAACTGCTGTTGATACTCAACACAAACTGAGAGCGACACTAATAAAAGAGCCAAAAGCAGCTTCTTGAGGTTCAGGATAACAGAGGTGGATAATGTTAGGTGATGGGTGGATATGTCACTCATGAGGGATGGTGGTCTGCAAGGTCCTGGTCTCACCAGTTTTCCACAGTGGACATTGCATTCTTAGCATTCCACCAGAGGACCACTGCCTCGCGTCACATGTCAACTCATTTTCCAGGTTTTCCCTGATTTCCAGAGTCGCTGGGAACCCCGATTGGTGCTCTATTCCCGAGGACTATCTCTGAAGTAAGAAGTCAAACAAATTTATGACAAAAACAAATTTAACGCCTATTGCTCTCATCCTTTAGTGAACTTCAGTGCGCAAGAAAGGCGACCTAAAAAACAAGTTTCATTAGAAATGAACACCGAAAGCCTGCTGTCCTTGGCCGTACGGAAACAAAAACACAACACCAGCTGAAATATTTGGTCTGGCCCTACAAGCCGGATTCAGGTCAGAACCTGGACCCAGATTAAAGCCAGGGCAGCTGTCTGACCCTCTTCCCAGTCAAAACACACTGATGTAAACGTGTTTGTGTTGAAAAGGCACGAATCAAGCAGCTCAGGGAAAGTGTGTGTGGTCTTCACAGGAACAACCTGCTCCATCAGAACCATTTTTAGGGTGAATTTAACCAAGTCCGTGAGATTCAGACGGGACTAGAAGCACGTCTTGATGTTGACCCGCTTAGCAACGACAACAAACAAAGGAGGCAGCTGTCTGTCTGCAGGGGGGGCAGTTTTGGGACACTGCTCACTGTTCAGTGGCTGCAGACTCATCTCCACCGAGGCTTGTTCCCAAATAAAAAGGACCGGTTATAGCTAACCCCAGCTAGCTAGCCAAGTTTAACTGTGAGCAGCTGCCCTCCTATCCCCGGCACACATCTCTATACGTCTTAACTGGACCTGTGTCATGTGTTGTATTATTATAATTTATTTTTAAGTCAGAGCCGATATAATGGCAGCTGCGTTGCCTCTTTGAACCCCTTGTAGTAACAGGCGACTGGGCTCTGACTATTTCCAAGAACGTCTGAATTACCTTCACGCTCCACCTTCATTGTATATATATTTATATATATATATATATATAAAAAAGAAACCCTGTAAAATAATTAATATTTAAAATAGTTCTTTAATATATTGTGGAAACAACAGGCCTGGCTTATGAGAACTGCTCTTATCCAGCAAATACACCCAGCCTTCCTAGCTAGTGAATAGACTGGGGGGTGGGTATTTAAAGCGTCGCTAGCTACCTGTTAGTCGCAGCTTCACGGGTCCATTCCGCCGAACTCCTTGGTTAGACATCTCTTGATCCAAACTCTGCGAGCACTGACAGAACGTGTGGTTCGGAAAACAAAAACAAAACAAACAAACAAACAAACAAAAAAAACCCCGATAAATAAGGTTTAATCAAGCTCTCCGTCAGTTTTAGGCAGTGATGGAGTCAGAGCCCTGTGGCCCGGATGTGAACTGCCACAGTCGCTCATCAATGCGAAAAAGAAAAGAAAAAGGGGGAAAGGGCGCGTGCGGTTCTGCCGCACAGACTTCGCCTCCTCGGTTGTTGCTGAAGCGCGGAGATGAGCTGCTGAGGTGTTTCTAGCTCCACATCTCGGGAGAGAGCAGCCTCCTTGCCTGCCGCGGACTGAGTCCTCCCCCTCGGCTCGGCCGGAGTGAAGTGCGGAGCGGGGAGCCTCCTCCCGGGCAGGTCCGCTCCAGGAGCTGACCGCTGACGACAGCGCTCCCCGGGGGCGGCAGACAGTTCTCCATCACCTGAAATAAATAAATAAATAAATAAATAAATACAATTCTCCAGCATGTGGTGCTTCAGCTGTGAGAACACAACGTGGTGATGAGCAGCACTTTTTAACTTCAGTAATAATGTAATGTTGTTTAACGTTGTTTTACCAGGGGCGTAGCTAAAACGGGTAGAATCCCAGGGCACCATTTTGTCACCTGAAATTGTACTTGTATTTGTTTTGTATATAAAGAAAAAGATATATTCACATTGTAGGAATTAGTTGACTTGGGCTATTTTTGTGTTTAAAACATTCAGATAAGATAAGGTTAGTCCTTCCCCATGGGGTAAGCGTTAACCCAGCTGGACTACTGTACCACGCTTCATGTTGGGGTCATTCGGGTGTCCCTTTCACCTCTCCAGCTCGTCCAAAATGATTCAGCTCGACTATTAACAGGAATTTGTAGATTTGAGCACATTTCACCCGTTTTATCCTCCCTTCACTGGCTCCCTGTGCGTGTCAGGATTGATTTTAAAATACTCCTGTTGTCCTTTATGTGTATTAATGACCTTGCACCCTCATATCTCTCTGACCTACTTCAACCATGTGTTCATTCTCAGGCTCTGAGTTCATCAGCTGCTTTTGGTTGTATTAAAAACCAGGCTGAAGCTCAGACATCAGTTTTTTTCAGTCATTGGCCCTAATTTTTGGAACAGTCTGCCCCTCGACATTAGACAGGCCACTTCACGCCCTGCTTTTAAACCTCTCCTGTACTGTTTCTCACTGTTTTTGTATTATTGTTTTTATTTTTATGTTTTTAATTACATCTTGTGATTTTTATTTACTGCCTTGATCTTATTGTTAAGTACTTTGGCAATAGATGCTTTATAAATAAATTTGACTTGACATTGCTGGTTGGAGTAGAGCTGCTGCTCCTCCACATCGAGAGGAGCCAGTTGAGGGGTTTCAGGCACCTGGTAAGGATGCTCCCTGTACACCTCCCTCGAGAGGTTTTCCAGGCATGTTCAACAGGGAGGAGATCCTGGAGAAGACCTAGGACGCGTTGGAACTCTTCCTGATATTATGGGAAACTATGGTCTCTTGGCTGGCCTGGGAACTTCTTTGAATCTTCTCAGAAGAGCTGGAAGAGGTGGCTGTGGAAAGAGATGTCTGGGCCTCCCTGCTCAAGCTGCAGGTACATCTAAAATAAATAGAATACTGTATTCTGAAAAATTGCAATGTTTTTTGTCAATCACTTCAGAAAGTGAAACTCGTATATCATATAGACCATATCAGAGTCAGTTTTTTATTGTCGCTCCACCAAAATTATGTACACAGGGTCCCAGTTACATCAAAAAATAAAATGTAAAAGAAAAACAGTGATAACATCTAGATATGAACTAAGAAGAACATCAACTAAATACACACTAAGCACTAATAACATAAAAGCATTACGTCGAACATCAGCACAAACATGAGTCTGTGTGAGCAGATGAGCACGAATGAACACATCAACATGAAACAGATCAGCAGCAACATGAAACAGATCAGCAGCAACA